AGTGCGAGTGTGAATGAGAGTGTGGGTGAGAGTGAGTGTGAGTGAGAGTGAGAGTGAGAGTGAGAGTGAGAGTGAGAGTGAGTGAATGAGAGTGAGTGTGAGTGTGAGTGAGAGTGAAGGTGGGTGCTGAGAGTGAGTGAGTCGGAATGCGAGTGAGAGTGAGTGTGAGCGAGTGAGTGAGTGAGTGAGTGGGTGAGTGACAAAAACGGCCTCAAATTTGAGGCCAGTTTTGGCTTCAAACATTGAAAAATGGAAGCGTAAAAGGCAAATTTTGAAGCCAGAATTGGCTTCAAAGATCTGCTGATTTCTCATTCGCGGAACTGAAAAACCGAAGCCCCCATCTTCATTTTCTGGATGCGCAAGTGCGCCATAAAGCGTCTCCATTTCCTCATCCATCAAATCTCACATACCTCCTTGCTTGCGACAAACCTTGTCTTTTCCACACACCACTTTTTGCCTCTTGCGCTTTTCAATTTTACTTGGCGCCAAAATGAAATGTAAACATACACTCTGTGACTGAGAGGGTACTCTGGTCTAAAGAATTGCAAATTATTTTGAGGCCAGAAACGGCGTCAACAAAACTTCTACCAATCATGAAATTCCCATGCCCACACCCAAAATTGACATCTTCGTATCCTCCGCTGAAATTCTACTCAAGAAAAACACCAAAAACAGTTTGTGAAACGGAATGATCTCTCTTACACAACAACAAAATGTGGAGGAGTGTAATGCTCCTCCGCTTGTATTCTCCAATACAATTACTCCTCCACCCTGATTTAAATATATACTACTATATAATACAGGGAACTCACTCCTCCACGTCTCTTCTAAAAACCTCGCAACATGTTCATGTGTTAGGCGTCTAGGGGGTAGGGGGGGCAGCTATTGAAAAAGATGACAAGGAAGTGGGTGACTTGGCAAAGATGGCGCTTTTGACACATCCCTCACAAACCCCCCACAACTTCCACACCTAACTCACCCAACACCTACTACCTCAATGGTTCCACCTCACACATTAAACTTTGCTATAGGGTACATATGCTAGACATCGAAACTACTAATAAACTTGCTTCTTTCCTCGAAGCCAAATTTAGCCTCAAAAACACGACAGAAATTCCGAGACTGGTTCATGGGCCCCTGCAGTTCCAACAAGTGGCTTCTGACGTCATCCGACCAAAGCAAACACAGCTAAAGCTTTGGTTGAGCCAGGTGACTTTCCAGCTTTGTGGCTGGATGGGTTCAGTCTGAAGCGAGTGAGAGTGTGAGCATCTGAGAGCACAAAGAAGTGGCAGGGGCGCGAAATCTGCACTTTGAGGTTCACCAAGCGCTGTGCCTGCCACGAAATCTGCACTTCGAGGTTCACCATGCGCTGTGCCTGCCACGAAATCTGCACTTCGAGGTTCGCAATCTGCACTTCGAGGTTCACCAAGTGCTGTGCCTGCCACGAAATCTGCACTTCGAGGCTCACCAAGTGCTGCACCTGTTCACCAAGTGCTCTGCGCGCAACGAAATCTGCGCTTCCAGGTCCACCAAGTGCTTTGCCTGCCACGAAATCTGCACTTCCAGGTCCACCAGTGCCACGAAATCTGCACTTCGAGGTTCACCAAGCCACGAAATCTGCGCTTCAAGGTCCACAAAGTGCTGTACCTGTCACGAAATCTGCAATTCAAGGTTCACCAAGTGCTGCGCCTGCCACGAAATCTGCACTTCGAGGTTCACCAAGTGCTGTACCTGTCACGATATCTGCGCTTCGAGGTTCACAAATTGCTGCAGCTGCCACGAAGTCTGCACTTCGAGGGTCACAGAGTGCGGTGCCTGCCACGAAATCTGCAAACGAGCCACATGTCCAAAAGTCACGATTCGCTGCACCTGTCACGAAATATGAGCTCCTCGACGATCACCACACCATGTCCAAAGTGCTGCACCTGCCACGAAAAGTGCATGTGGAAGTAAAACAGCTCCGATCCCTTGCGCCTGTCACGAAAAGTCGACTTTGGAGCACCAAAACACGAGGATTCCCTTGCGCCTGCCACGAAAAGTGATCACCATTTACGGAAATGCGCACGGCACCACAACGCAGTCGTGAGAAGCACCCGCCGCAGACACCCAGATTCTGCGAGCCTGCGCAGTCGAAGTGCACATGGACGATGTCGCGAGTCATGAATGTACTGTAAATAGCAGCGAACACGGCCGCGCGCTGCAGCGATCTAAGCCCCAGCTGCGCCCCAGCTGCTTTTCTACTACCGTAAGAACCCCTCAGTGTGCCCACACTTTTTGGGGAACAAGAGCAAAGATTCCATGACTTAAGCTTGCCTTGAGAACTCCTCGTGGCATTCTTGCACACATTTCAATTCTGGATCGCCAAGGATCCAGCAGTGGACTCAACCTCCAGATACTTAGACGTTGGGAGTCCGTCTCTGAGACGTGCAAATGTGAGAATCAAGGGAAAGACGGAACGTATCGGCGTTTTGGAAACAATTCCTCTCGGAGTCGGAGAAGCTGTGCTTTGCTGAAGACCAAAAAACAGTTGGAGAAGCTTTGCTGCACATTCAAGGAGTGGTCTTCGCACCTGGGACGGGCTTAGATGTCGCAAAGTCCATAGGCACCCTGTAGCAGTTCACCAAGTGTGTTCTTTTGTGCCTCTTTTCCGGAAGGTTTCAAGAACAAGGATGTGTACTGCGTGGCCCCAATTGTGAACCCGAATGCCTCCAAGGTTTGGACAAGCATGAACAGCAACACGGTTCCGCAAGAGGGGTTGAACATGGTTGAACGGATGTGAGGAAAAAGGTTCGTAAAGGTAGTGTGCGAAGAATTGTGAAGATAATTTTCTATTGACAGCCAGTATTGAATTAGCGGCAGCGTTAGTTGTCTTGAAACTTGGACACCATTTTTTGCTGTCATGGGATTGCAGGCTCCTGCCAGTTATGACTACTGGGCAGTTGGATTGAACTGTTGGTCAGTAGCCTCAGAATCGATCCAGGCAATGGATGGGTTCCTGTCAGACTTTGTGGGTGATGAGGGTTGGCCCATGTCATGAGTTTGCGTTTCTGATAGATGTTTGTGGTCAGATTCTAAGAGAGCCAAACGAATCTCTTGGGAGGGCAAAAAACCAGCAAGTTGTTCTTATTTTTGTTTTGTACAGTAACTTGCCGCCTGAGAGTTTGAGAACATCCGGGTATTACAAGGTTTTTGCATCCTAAGTGTCCATCGATGGTGCCATCCATTGATTGATTTTCTGTCTCCCGCCCAGTGATGCGGATGGCTTCAGATGCGGCGAGTACCTGAAGCCAAATGCGCTGGGGGCCCAATGTGTGGAGTCGGAGGCATGTCATGTATTGTCAACATTTCTGATGTATAAGGTTGGCAAGGGGTAGGTAAGGTGCTCTCATGAAGTCTGTTGCGCAAGTCTTGGAGTACAATGTATAAAGGTCAACCTTGAATGGACTTGAAATAACCGAATAACCCACACACAACTCGTTTGAAAGGGGTCTGAGATCCGAAGATCTTGGAAGAAGAGTTGCAATCCAAGGCGTAGTGGTGTGCGGCTGATGAACGAGGATTTGCAAGCGGGCTGCCGTTGTAACACCGAGCATTGTCCAATCATTCTTTGTGCGATAGCCTCCACCTAATAGCGAGGGCCTCCAACCTAATAGCGTCCTTGTTACTAGTGGCTTCTTGCTCCTAGTAGTAAGGCCAGGAGCCCCTAGTAGCGAACATTGTTCCTAGTAGCGATGCCCTTTGCTCGTAGTAGCGTCCATGCTCCTAGTAGCGAGCAATTCTAACAGGCACCTGTTAGCCGAATCCTTCAGGAGCAGCGAGAGTTTTACATGCTAGCAGTGCATGAGGCTGAGGTGGGCAATCTTTGTTGCAAGTTTCTGGCGAGGCTTTTTGGAGCTTTTTGGCTCCCTTTTTATGGTTAAATGGACACAGCAGCAGAATGCTTCCACGCAGTACTGCACTCCAAACTAGACAGTGAATTCCAACAGGTGCTATGGGTGTTGTTCTCACCGCAGACATTGATGGATCAGTGATCAGGCAACCTTCGGTATCAAGTCTTCAATGCCACTCTTCTTCGTTTGGGTTGAGGACGGGTCTGGTAGAGCGCGTTTGTAGTGCTGTATGGGCCGAACGGGCATGAAGTTTCTCACAGTTTGGGCACGCTTAGCCATCCTCATTTTGGATTCCCGTTTTGGGCATTTCTTTATAGGCTTTAAACGAGCGCATCCGACAGGATGCTGCAGCGTTGCAGAGATCCTGGGAGGCTGGATCGATTCACTTGAGATCGGTGTGACCTTTGCTGGAATGGCCCTGGCATTGGATCTCTTCGGACAGGTCAAGACCTTTCAATATTGGGCTTTGGCTACTCTCACCTTCGCAGCCTTCCTCTTTGCTGCTACTGCCAGGATCAAAGATGCCAATGTACAAATATATGGTACCCCCCCTCCAATACACACCCTTTGTGTGTTCTATACTGTAAATTACAGTGTTTTAGCGCTATTTTGGACTAATTTTTTGAGTGATATTTTGAGACCTTTTTTCACATTTGTTTGGAACACTTTCTGGAGGGTGGTACCATGTTTGGGGATGATAATCTATCAGTTAATTGAAAGGGGAGTGTCCTCAGGTGAAGATTATATCTGAGAACAAGATGCAAACAAGAACATTTTTCAAACATCTGCAGAAATCTTAAAATCTTGGTTCTTGGTTTCTTGGTTCCAGGGAAATCTTAAGATTTCTTAAGAAACTATTGTTCCGGAAGACTTTCTGTGCAGTCTTGGTTCTTGATTCTTGATTCCTGGTACTTTACTACTTTACGCAACTCCCATTGTATCTTACTTAAGTACTTCGTCCGCGTGTGCCTCAAAATTCAGCGTTCCAACTTAGAACAAGACTTGTGGTTGTATCTATTTCGTGTCTCTGTCATGACGTCGTTTTCCGTGGCTGGACATTGTGACGTACAAGGACGCGAGGCAATCCTGCGGCTGACTTTACCAACAACACCAGAAACGGAGGTGAAGATGTGCCGGCCCAGTCCGGAAGACCTCATGCTGAAAGTCAACGAGGGCAGCATTTTCGTTCATCCTATTCGTCAGCCCATGGACAGAAAAGCCTTACACAATGCTTTGGGCAATGCGAGCCAGCGCATGGCACGTCTACCTGGTGCAAGTAGGGGGGGCTGGTCTCAAGAAGCACAAGCACGGCTCCGCCCGCCCTCAAGGATGAATCCTCCAGCTCATCTTCGTCACTCTGAGAGTCCAAGTCACAGCCCATGGCCAAAAAGAAGCGCGCAATGAGTGCATCTTCCGGTTCTTCCTCTGAGTCTGAATCCTCTGAGAAGAAGCCCACTGACAACAAAGTGGCCCAGCTCCAGACGGCCAAGAAGGACTTCGATGCCAGCTTCTCAGCTTTGCATCACTGTCAACAAGAGCCGAAAAAAGCCAAGGTCACCATCGAGAAGAAAGAAGCGGTCATTGCTCGACTGGAGCGGGAAATCGAAAGGCTGCAGAAAGAGGAGGGTGAGACAGACGTGGAGGCTATGATGAATTCTGATTAGGGCCTGCCTCACTTCGTGCGTTTTCGCACGATTTTAAATTTCAGCTCGCGCCAAGGAAAATAAAAGATACATTCATTCTTGTATATATTGCGCTCAGAGATGCTCAGAGGACGCATGTGAAGTTTCATGTCACAAGCATTACAAGCAATGTGTTAGAGTTTTAATTAACGAAACCTTGTCTGCATGAACACGTACAGCAAAAGCAATATCTGCGTGATCACTGTCTTATAAAGTTATTTGCTGATACTTTCACACACACTTCGGCAACTAACAACAGCCAGAGACCACGGACGTCCCTCTGCTAAGTTTCCTGTCTCAAGCATTCTCCTCCGCTTTGTCATCTGCTGTTTGTCATGTCATGGCGCAACTTGTGGCTGCAGCAATGGAAAGACGGTGGAAGGTCTTGGACTCTGCGCGCCTTGGACACTCCAACTTTCGCTTTCAAGGCCGAGGACGGGGTCGAAGAACATTTATCCTTGTCCACCTTCCTTGCTGGCGCGTGTCGCAAGCTCAATGGCATGGCTGCGCTCACCATCCTCTTTGATGTTCACATGTCTGTGCCTGAGTTTGCTCCTTTGACTTCGCTGGGAGATTGCATCTGCAACCATAACGCAGAGTCTTTGCCAGAGAGCATTCGTCTTCCATTGTGCGCTACCTGATGGCTGCCGCATGTGCATAGTGGCGCGCAACATAGAAGATGGCGCATTGCAGGTTATCAAAACTCTCTACTTTGCGGGCAAGGTCAACCCAAAGGATGCGTTGAAGTAGTGTGCTGGCACTCCCTATTCCCCCCTCATCTCTCTTGTCCTGGTCCCTGGGCTTTGAAAAAGGCATTGGTATCCTTGCTTGACCGGCTGCCTGGTTTCCACGTCTCTTGGTTTGCTCTCAGCAATACAATTGAAAAGCCTATGAGAAGATCACAATCTACTCAGTGGGCACCAGCAGATGACGAACTTTGGGCTGGGATTCAGGACATTAATGAGAACGCGCCAGAGTGCGACTCTGAGAGCCAACAATATGTAAAAGAAAATGCTGAGACACCGATATCTGGCCAGAGGCCAAAGTGCGTGTCATGGCGCAAAACAAGGCGGAGGGAATGGCAGGAGCGAAATTGGAAACAGACTTCCCATTGCAGACCTATTCCCTCAAGCCTTTCCTCACGGAGAAGCTGCTGCCACTTCTGTACCCGCTCTGGATGAACTTCGCTTTCATGTCCCTTGGCTGGCCAGCCGAGCGCAGCGCAGCGCACCGAGCGCAGCGCACCGAGTGCAGCCCAACCCGAAAACGCCGGATTACACCCAGTCACGCTTACCCGCTACACTGCAAATGTCAGCGCTGTTTCCTTCGTGATGCGTGCCTTCGTGGTCGCTGTTTCCTTCGTCTGCAAAACTGATGATTGACTGTCTGACATGCTGTGTCAGTAATTTGGTGTTGGTATTGTAGCACCTGCACTGGCTTTCCATGACTTTGTCTTCTGGCGTTGTGACTTCTGCAGCCGTTTGGTAAAGGTCTGCCCTGCCGTTTACCTTATGGCGCGCAAGGTAAACCCTGGCATAGTCGCCAAGCGCGGCAAACTTCGCATTCTTCACAAGTGCCCCGCCTCGAAGCGATCCTTGGAGTACCAGAAGGTGAAGTACGTTCGCGGCGCCCGAGACCTATCAGCTTCAGGTGTCCGCTTGGACTGTGTGGCTTGGATCCATCGACGAAATACTGAATGCATCAGGCCGGAAGATCTTGTCAATCCTTGGGCAGGACAGACTCCTTCCCAAGTGGCCCCGCAGCCTCTGCCCTCATTGTTGGACGGGTACTTTGAAGAGGCGTGTGCGTCAGAAGCTTCCCAACTACCAATGGCAAGACCTGGGTCGACGTTGAGGCCGACGAAGCCACGTTCGATCACGCGAATGTCACCAAAGATGTCACCTACAATGATGCCGTGGCCAAAGGCGAATGCATACTCTCGGAGCAATGGTCTAGTATTCTCGTTCGCGGCAAGCCATCCACACTAGTCCTCACCCGTCTCAAACTTGCACTGTCAGTCAAAAGGGCTCCAGGCCCAGGTGCCATTCACAAAACCGATTGGACACCATTGGCGGGAAAACACCTTGCTGATCGAAAGGTGGTGCTCCACACGGATTCTGCAAAAAGTTGCCGAACCAAGGTGAGTGTTCTGTGCGTGATGCAGTGGTGCACTGCAAAAAGAAAACCATTGTGAATGGCAAGGTGAAATGGGCGGCTCCGCAGTATGTCCGTGTCGTTTTTCACAAGCTACCAGGAGGCAAAGCCTTAAAGGTCAAGGCAAACACACAGCATATCGACCGTGCCTGGCGGTTCCTTATAAACGGATCCGCCGCAATTAAAACGTGAAGGCTGGAAGCAAAGCTATCCAAGCCCAAATTCGATCCGCTCAGTATGAGTACTGGCTTCGCGGATCTGACCTTTGGTTGCATACTGGTGACTTGGTCACAAGGACAATGTCTCAGTATCTTTCAACAAGTAGCACCTGATTCTGAGACCAGATTTGTCTGCTCATGAAAAGGATGTCTGCTGCATTCCACTGCTGTCAGGCGTACCAAGCCTGCTTTTCATTCATCAATGCTACTTAATCATGCCGCACAAGCAGCTGCAAACCATCAAACAACACAAGCACCTGCAACATCTGCAATCCATCATCATTCATGACTGGTCTGTCACTTTCAACGCAAAAGATGTGTATTGGTGGGGGTAGCAAATATATAGATTTATAATATTATGCTAGTTGATCTAGTTACTTCCTCCAGTCGATGCCTTTTGTTGTGTTTGTTCGGTATTCTGTTTTGCACGGGGTATATGTGCTTGAGTTGAGACCCTTAGGTGGCGGGGGTCGCGTTCTTTGAGGCGTTCTTGGCAACCTGGTAGAGGACAATGTGCTGAGAACAGATGAGCACCATCCCAGTTTCGGATGAAGAGAACTTTGACTTGCTTGCCTTGGCCTTGTTTGGAGTGAATGCAAGCCCGAGTTGCCGAACCCCACCCCATTGGACCGACACCCAGTACGGCAAGAGTTGGCTTATATGTTGGATACCATTCCTGCCAGGATGTGTGAATGCATGCGGAGTATCATGCCGTTTCAGCATGGATGTACGATGCACCCGAAACGTGGCAGCATTGTCCTGTGCAGTCACCGTAAACACTACGGGCCAGTGTCCTGAACCTGCTATTTCGTGTAAAAAAAATATGTTTGAATGCGTGTTTTGCAGTGGTTTTTGCGAGGACTCAGATGCATCACCATGACATTGTTGACTCATAGTTGTGTTGACATGGTGGGACACGGACATTTAGGAAATTTAGGGGCTTAACATTTCAGCTGGCGTTGTGGAAGGCCCTGCAAGGTTTCAGTTGGTGGAGTGTTCATGGCGCGGTTCTGTCCTGACCTCGTTGATGTTCCTGTCCTTTCCGGTCCATTTTCCAGTAAGTTTGCAGCCCTCGACTTCTTGAGAAGTCTCATGAATTTCAGGTGATACGTGATATGTGCAGTGTTTGTCTTTAGTATGCTGTTGCATGTTGAATCAACACTTGCTTTTTCATAAGAGTTCAATCTTGTCCAAGTTCATTTGTTGACCTTTTCAGCAGCGCCCATGTGCTTTGCCAAAAGAAAAGATCGCCGGAAGCTCTCTTCGAGTGCTTTTGGCCTTCTTTGGGGAAGATGCCATGTGTTGTGTGAAAGACGCAAAACCAAGATACATGGGACACAAAGAACAACACTTGCGTTCTTGGTTGTTGTCATTTCTCTTTCAGTCCTACAAGCTGAAACGGTGCCCACATTCATGTCGCGTCACGATCAAGCTTCTCGTAAAGCCTATTTGGCCCAAATATAGTATGTCACTATGTCAATAATTACAATGCTTGAACCAGCTCTCAAATGCATCGTCAAAGACAGCCCTGATAAGTAGCGGCATCGTCAATTGTCCAACAAGTCACCAAAAAGGACACTACCGAATCGGTAGTACCGAAAGCTTCAAGGTTTCATTGGCCATGGATGGTCTGCTGCCGAGAGTGCTTGAGGGGCCAAGTTGCAAAAGCTGTCTGAAGCCAAATAAGAGATGTAAGCCGTCAAGGCGTGCCGGACGTCCAGGAGCTGTGCCGCTTGCGCTTGGAGGCCAAGTCCAAGAGGATGTTTCAGGGCCTTTTTGCTGGTTCTCTGAAGCATTTCTTCTGAACATATCCGCTAGATTGATTGAAGCAGTAAGAACGGGATGGGATGCTGAATGTGGAGGCCACGAAGATGCCACAGCACAGGCTAGTGGGATGACAATTGGGAACGAAACTCAGCCTGTCCTCCTGAGCCAATGGAGTTGCAGGATGTTTTGTCCTTGACAAAATCTTTTGGCTCAAGTACTGTAGCATGACATGATGCAAGCGATGCACACGGATTTCTTGTTGGGCAGTCTCAGAGATTCAAAGTCCTCAACATGGCTGAAAGGACGGAAAGCAGAACAAATCTGTTCTCCAGACCCAACATTAATGCTTTGTGCCACTTCTTCAACTTGACACACGTGCAGATCTCTGCCATTTTTTGTGAGAGCATGCACCACCTACAGAAGCCGGAGGCAGTGGCCTTCGGTGTGCAAAACTGGAGAATCACCAGCCATCTACAAGTCCACAAGTACCAAGAAGGCTAACAAGAACACCTAGAAAGGCTCAAACAGTAACAAAACAGAACCTCAGGAGACAATGATGTGAACAGAACAGACATGTGAGGTGGATGACCTTGTGGAGCACTTGGTGAGCGTTTTCCGAGAGGCAGATGATTTGGGAGCATTGTTGCGCGGGCTCTGCAGGTTTGTTGGATGTTGCCAGGGTGAATGATCCACGGAAAAAGGAGTGCTGTCCAGAGGTAAAGAATTAACTCCTGATTTACTGTAATTCTTTTCAGTTCTAGTATGCTCGCATGGTTGTTCGAGGAATTAACTCCTGATTTGAAACTTGTCATTTCTGGCATGGTCGCTTGAGGAATTAACTCCAGCGTCAATTTTTCTTTGTGTTCCAAACTATAGTGTCACTGAGGCACTGTTCTTTCTTTGGTGTAAACCCTACCAGTTTCATCTAGTTTCCTAGTCTCCCAAGAGGAATTTTAACCGGGCTTTGAACCGAATCAATAAGACTCAGAGTTAATTCGTTTTCTCTGTGTCCCAAACTATAGTGTCATAGAATCCAGAGTTAGTTCTTCGTCTCCTTGTCCCAAGCAATGGTCAATGAAACCACATTGCAAAAGAATCAAACCCAAAGTTAATTCTTCAGATCACTACATGTGAGTTTTTGAAAATAGTTAAGTCTTGACGTACGAATTCGTTTCGCACCCGTGGCTTGTTGAACCAAGGATGGAAAGACATTACCTCTGAAATTAATTCTTTCTAACTCCTGAAGTCAGTCCCTACCTGATCCACGGCCTCGAGCTTGAGGGAACTGCAGTCCTAACACATTCAAGATCGTCAACGTTATTGAAGACCTTGCAGCTGTTGCCCAGAAACATCATTTTGACTTTGCTGGACTCTAGCCTTGTGAAGCCTTACATATGCACGGAATCTCACCCTGATTGATACGCTCCGGCAACCTTGAACTGTCTGCAGGGAGTGATTCATTTCGTCGAAGAGCTTGACTCCAAGCTACAGCCGCCTAGCAAGAACCATCAGCACAGCAGAAGCCTGTTGCAACCACAATCATGCAATTGGACACAAATGAGACAACCTTGGTGCTCGTCAGCCACGTTGTCTCCGGCTAGCCGCTAGCCTACCAGGTTTGAATTCCAAGCAATGGAACGAAAAGAGCTACAACTTCGAGTTGATCCTTTGCAGCTCTTGGACGTGCCAGTTTTCCAATGGTTTTCCTTAGTTTTCGTTGCAAATAGACTATTTGCCCCGTTGTTGGTTGCAGAGATGGATTAGGATTGTTCATTGGACTCGCATTTCAGGAAAGACAAGCGCTGGATGAGATGCGGAAGTCACTCAAAGAGGCTGAAATCAATGCAAATTCTGGGTGTCTTTCGTATCTTTACATCTTCAGAGTGCTGTGATGGCACAGGAACAGACTGCTTTGGAGACGAGATCAAAAAGCTTCAGGACGGTCAGAGGTTGAAGTGCTCCCACAGACAGTGGTTACGCCTCCAAGATCCTCCAAGTTCAAGAACAATGCAGACAATAGCTTGTCCTGCTCAATACTCCCAGAAAGGATGTCCAGACAAATATCAAACCGCGGGGCTGGCTGTTCGCGAGGATTCTGAGTCCTGAAAGCATCTGAAAGCCAGGAAGTCACGAAGGAGTTCACAGCTGAAAGTTCGATTCTGCGATTCAGATGGGACACAGATCCAATTGGCTCCAGAGCTTGCTGCTGACTTCTTGGCGGGCATCGACGGCATCGACGCCGAAGTTCAGGACGATGAGGCCTTGGAAAACGTCAACTGCCCACAGCGTTTGTTTCAGGGAATACTCTGATTTAATCAGTGGCACAAGATAGCAGATAGCAGGAGACAACTCCCAATCTCAGGAAGATCTGGTCACCTCAAGTGATTGTAGGCTACCATCATTTTGCCATTTGTCAACAGACGGCTGTTTGATTTCACGCACATTTTGGCCCTTTATTTTGCCTTCTACAAGCTATATCCACTCATGAGAATACATGTTGAGCCGCTATAGGCTATGCCTATGCAAGACATCAGAAATTCAAGGAGCAGTCGCCCTGTGAAAAGACAGCGCGTCTCCAGGCACTTTCTGGTGGGTCCTCACTTGAGACGTCACGCTTTCAGCGCCAGAGAGCCACAGCTAAAGATAAATTTGCTGGATGTTAAGCGATTAGGTTGGAGGCCATCGCTATTAGGTTGGAGGCCATTGCTACTTGGTTGGAGGCCATTGCTATTAGGTTG